AATTTGCTCTGCATGAGATGCACTGCCTTATTAAATTAATAAACTGTGTTTGCTGTTTTATGATTTTCTCCAAACCCTCAAAACAACTGTCAGGAGAGTAGCTTAAAGGGCCAGTGTGTAATATTTGGCATGGTTTATTGTCAAATCTGAATCTGAATCTGAATATTCTACCCATTAATATGTTTATATAAGTGTATAATCGCTATAAAATAAAATTCGTTTGGTTTTCGTAGCCTTATATTATGCTGTTATATATATATATATAGCAAAGGCCTTGCTTTAGAGAGGTCGCCATCTTGCGCCGCCATGTATGTACGGCAGCCCGAGCGGACAATCCAGCCAGCCAGAGAATGCATTTCGCGTGTATAAATAAACCGACGAAGACAGCGCAAGGAAGGAAGAAGGAGGAGGAAACAGCAGAGTGTTAGTAGTTCGTTGATAGAGAGTAGTGAAAAGTCTTTTTAGTTGTAAAGTTTGCGAATGGACCACACTTACCACGCAACAGGAGAGAATGAACCCGAACCGTCATCTGTGAGGAAAAGAAGACACAACTTCACTCCTTGTGATGCACTCTCTGCTGCGCTTTTCCTCCTGATGATATATCTCCCCAACGATGGAAGCACCGAATCCCATTCTGTGCAGCAAAATGGGAGCGGAGGATTCAGCCTCTCTTCTCGCCCGCTCAGCATCCAACACATGGAGTTCCTCATCTGTATGCTCCGGCTCAAACAGGTATGGCTCTGGGTCTGTGTCCACTACAAGAAACTCTTAAAAATCATGTTCAAAGTCGTCCATTGCAGCTACTATAGTCCGGAGATATTGCTAGGCTAAATAAACAGCTGAGTTTTGTTTACAGGCTACACTGTCAGTCAGTGTGCGGGCTGGAGATTGGTGGAGCAGAGAGGGGAGGGCTGCCCCGCTGGGTACTGTAAGTGAGTATATGTGTATGAAGTGTGTGTGTTACGCTAGAAGAGTCAGAGTTTGGGACGGAGTCTTTTACGTGCTACCCCCTGGAGTGTTACCGGAGTTTTTGGAGTGCTCAAATAAACGCACCTTTTTCCCGAATGCTACTCTGGTCTCCTGCTCGTGAGTGATTCATTACAATGTCGTAACATGGTTTAGATTTCTAAATAAATATTCACCTTGTCGCTAGATATTTTTCAATATGTATGTATTATTTTTGTTTGTTTTTATTCTGTGAAGCACTTTGTGCTGCATTTTTAATGTATGACAAGTGCTATACAAATAAAGTTTGATTTGATTTGATTTGATCTAGAATTTGACCACTAATGTCACTGTTTTCAACGGTTTTCAACCCATTTTACACACTGGCCCTTTAATAACACAGAAGACGCATAACCTTTGAGATTCCCAGAAGTCACATAGTATGCATGTAGCATAACTTAAACATTAACCAACTTAAACATTATCTAACTTTAATGGAGGTTCCTGAGTTCACCTTTTAGAAAAGCTAATAATACCAGGAGTGATGCCAACTGAGCATGTGAAAAAAAAAGAACTGTGAGCTCTGCTCAATCATTGTGTCATATTTGATTTATATTAGATAGATTTGGTGCTTTTGTAGTTTTCTATCAGTGTTAACTGAATAAATTTGGGTTTAGTCAAACATAAAAACATTTAAAGACCTTGAACACTTTGAAACTGTTATGTGCGCTCTTCATTTCTCTGGTATTTTATAGACTGAACAGATAAATCAAGAAAATATCTGGCAGATTAGTCAAAGGTAAAAATATCCTCATTGCAGCCCTAGTCAATTGAGCTCAGTCAATTTTGTTATAAAAAAATGAGACAGTAACATTTAATTGATTATATTTATCATATTTTATTTCTTAACAAGTCAAAAACCTTAAAACTGTCACAATATTTATCAGTTTACAGCCTGACTTAGCAGTCACCAGTTTCTGTTCTCCTTTACTTAACCTGTGTTGTTCATGAGGGAGTTTGATCTTCACTGTGCAGATAAAATGTCCTCCATTGAGGGTCTGTCTATGGGACTCTGACAGCAGTGAGAGAACAGCACCCTCCCACGTTCGTCCAAAACAAAGTCTCCTCCCAGCTGGGAAAAACACGAAGGAAACTAAATCAAAGAATTATTTTCTGTGTAGATGTAAAAACTAAAATGGTCATGGGAGTAAAACTATGATACCGTTGACAAATAAAACAAATAAAATCATGATTTTTTTTTTGTTTATTTTATTGTGAATGGACGTTTTATCAGAAAAGTATGCAATTATCTGAACCCAAATGTTCTTTATGCGTCATTTTTAAGTAGTTAGAAACATTTACAGTTGGACTGACCATCATTATTGTATATTTGGTAGTTAATTAGAGGATTCACTGGAGAACAGGGACTTAAGATGCCTTGGACAAAGGCACATCAAGTTCTGCTGCTGCCACTTCAAACATCTTTGTTCGTGCTTCATTTTACCTGAAACATGTCGTCTTGAATCGATTGAAGCCCTCTGGGAAACTCCATATTATCCACCACGTATTCAGCATAGAGCAGCATGTTACTGAAGTTTAATACTTTCGTTAGAGATGCTCCCAGGCCAAATGCAGTGTACATCTGCAACACCCAACAGAGTTAACTGATAGCATAGCATCAGAAAAAGTATGTAAAGTATATAAGTGTATATTCTGTATTGTCATCGCCTGGCATGGGGCTCTGACCTTCCTATCACGGTCCAACAGCATGTCGTACGGACAGTTAGTCTCCTGCAGCCAGTGTGAGGCTCCCTCCTGACAGCCAAATGAAACCACCACCACTTCAACTGAGTTTGCATCCAGGGACCTCTGAAAAATAGCGCCACAAGCCCCGTTAGTTACCTGGGGACCGCTAGTGATTTGTAATAATTGTGAAGGTCAGCTATGATCTTAATCCCGTGTGAATCTGCCGTGTATGTAATTTTGCATGTTAAGATTCCACAGTAAATTCCCTATGATATTTCAGCAAACACAAAGCTTATGCGCTTGTATTACTATAGTCCCATGTAAATCAGTCTAGATTCATAGACCTTTACTAATCATATCTGTGAGCAAACAGGTTTTAAAGTTGTGTTATAAAAGCCAAAGGCAGCTCTGCCAAGTATTAATCTTAGTTATTTTCAAAGAGTTACTCGGTTTATGTTAGAGAGAGAGGTGTTGCCCTTCTGTGGTTCACCTGTGGACTAATTTTCTTCCTTACTGGTAAGTTTACTGGCAGGAATGTGACTGGACACTTTCCAGTTTTTGCTCCTCGGTGATGAGAAATAATTTACTCAGACTTGAAGCAGACATGAATCTATCGCGTAACAGAACAACATATAATCAGAATAGAATTCTTCAAATGCATATAAAATCATTACAGTCATGAACTTGTTTTTAGGAGAGAAAAAAAAATAAAAATAATGTCTGCACTGCCATCATCAAGTCCATCCTCACCTCCTCCATCACCATCTGGTACGCTGCTGCCACTGCCAGGGACAGGGGCAGACTGCAGAGTTTCATTGGCTCTGCTCAGAGGGTGATTGGCTGCAATCTGCCGTCCCTCCAGGACCTTAACGCCTCCAGGACCCTGACGCAGGCGCAAAAGATTGCAGCCGACCCCTCCCATTCCGTACACAGACTTTTTTAGTCTTTTTTTTTTTTTTTTTGGACCCCCACTGATACGGACTCTTGCACACACTGCACAAAACTGTGCTCCCTCATTGTTAAACAGTTATACTGTACATATTTGTTACAACATTATTGATAGTAACTTTTATATGTTTTTATTGTAATTTTAAGGTTCTGGAGACCAGTTGACTCGCTAAGTCCCACCTCGGGAC